TATAATATAAAACATTTCTCCCGTCGTGACCTATAGATAAAATTTCTTTGCAGGGTTTATAATTATTTTTAAATACATGCAAACTGTTTACATTTCAAAGCCAAACATAACAGCTGGGATTTATTTTTCTTTAAACTAATTTATTGACATCTGTTTCAGAATATAATAACAATCAAATCAATCACAATGTTATCCTTATGGAAGGAACTTTGAGGGTAGCCCATGCCCTTAAAAAGATATATTTCGAAAATCTAAAGCCTGTTTGCACATCTATACATCTAGACGAACATTTTGGTATATAATATGTGGGGTTGAATCTTAAAACAAAAAAGCCTTATTGTTCACAAAGTTTCATGTCGCGTATTAAATATATAGATAGATGTAATCAGGTTGCTCATGGTTTAAAGAAAACTAGTGTCCCTGTTGCTCGAATCCGAGCAATTGCTAAGTATTACAGGCGTTATTATTTTAAAACGAATTTAAACCAAGTCAGCAAATGATTGTAGCAAACTGTTAAATTAGCAAACTTATTGACTGTTTAACATGCTCATCATCTCACTTTTGATTTCAGACAATTTTGACAACAGCTGGAGTTTCATAACAATTTTTGTTTCCAATGTTAATCTTATGGAGAAATACGAAACATTAAAGGGCTCCAGGGCCTCACTCTCTCATTATTTCCCTAAAAAGAAAGTTTCCTGCACAACTTCACGTTACGCTCTTTCCAATGACACCAAAAACATGACAATCGGTTCAGTAGTTTCGGAGGAGTAATTGTCACAAAAAATCTGCTTGCGTATTAAATAAGTATAGATTAATAAAATATGCATATGGCCCGAGGCGAAGTAAAGTGGCGAAGCCAGATTTTTGGATAATCTCTTCACAATTATAGTTGCTTAGTACAATCACTGTATTCTGTACAGGTTTGAAAATTCAACATATTTCACTGTAAAAGGCATTACTTCATTTTCATAATACCAATTAAGTTTATCGAGTGGGTGGGGGGTACAATTCCAGCCCGTACACAAGCCCAACAATGTAAAAACTACTGGATTGCGCTCTCAGTAGCACTGAGGGCGCTGTTTTCGGTCTAGCTTCCCCCACCATCTACTGGCAGTAGCCGACGCAGCCCATACACTCACCATTGTAAAACGCGCATTTTTAAGTTGCTGCTCTGTTTAAATATATAGATATAGAATATTGCTAATACATGCCAAAAACTTTTACTATTCTAAACTTTATGTCTTCTTCTTTTCGTGCAGAAAATAACACATTTGAACTCTTGAAAACCCTACTACATTTGTCCAGTTTTTACCGCAAATCTATGCTTGACATTAACGTGATAGGCATACTTTTTTATGACCTATTTTGTAAGATACATTGTCATTAAACATTGAAAGAAAAAAATATAGCGTTTACGTCAAACATTTACGTTACCACTGCGGCAAAAACTTAGCAAAATTATTCTAAATGTTTATATACTATTTTTTTAATTAATAAAATAGAATTTCAAACACAAATATTGTACTTTCTATTTCTCCTTTGTAATCACTTATTATTTTACCATGTACAATTTGGAACTAGCAATATCAGTTGTCTAAAAACATCTACAAAACGGGTTTAGTGAATTTGTAGTTTTAAAGAATTCAAATGGGCTATTTTCTGCAATAAACAAAACAGACATAAAAGGTTTAACTAGTAAAAAGAGTTTGACAAGCGTTAGCAATATTTTATCCCTATAAATTTCCACAGTGCAGCTAATAAAAAGTGTGTTTTATAATGGTGAATGTATGGGCTGCGTCGGCTTCTGCCAGTAGATGGTGGGGGAAGCTCGACCGCGCGGCCAACACTGAGCCAGCGATCCATGAGTTGTTTATATCGTTGCACAAGCCAAGCTAGCTGTCCAAGAGGGGGGTACAATTCCACCCCGTACACATTTGGCTTTCTGATGGGGGGTACAATTCCAGGGGGGTACAATTCCACCCCGTACGTAAATATTTTGATGTTGGCAGGGGGTACAATTCCGGGCCGTACATCTCCTGCTCTTTTTAATATCTAATATAATTATCCGGTTCACTGATCACTTGCCCACATTAAATAGATTAGATTTCGTTCAAATCAAAGTGTACGGGGTGGAATTGTACCCCCCCTAGGCGTGACGTCAAAATGACGTCAACGATCACCGGGGGGTACAATTCCAGGGGGGTACAATTCCGGCGACCCATAGCACCGTTAGTGATGTTGATAAACCTGAAGTTGTTCCTCTAAGACGCAGGTTTAATTTCAAAAAGGCCAACTGGACGGGTTATAGGGAGATCATTGACTGAGAAATCACCAATGTCCCTCCACAACCTGATATGTATGACTCCTTCGTCAAGATTTTGACTCCTTGTCCAGCAGGTTTTGAGAAAAATGATACCTAGAGGTTGTCGAACCCATTACATCGCAGGACTGTCTAAAGAGGTAAAGCCACTTCTAGAACGATACCAAGGTCTCTTTGACAATGATCCCTTTGCTGAGGATACACTTCTAGCAGGCGAAGAGCTCATATCAGTCATTACCGAAAATCGCAAAACTAAGTGGTGTGATCTTGTGGAGAGTTTATATATGCAGGTGAACAGCAGACGGGCCTGGAAGTTCCTCAAGAACATAAATGGAGATGTGACAAAACCAAAAGACAACTTTTTGAAATTTGGTATGTAGCTACTAATCCTTGGTATCTCCAGGCATATTTTTCACTTTCTTGGAATTTAGATTTTTAATAGTGATTTTCCCATCAAACCCCATAAAATAACGGAAAAACTTGATTTTCTCAAAAATGGCCCGAACGATTTTCATAGAAATTTAGTATGTTGTAGCTAGCTCTTAAAATTCTGAACAAAATGGTATCGCTCCATTTCTGTAAAAAGTTCAAAAGTTATTGTAAATTTAAATTATGTTATTTCCTCTTAAAAAAAAAAACCATAAAATAAAAATTAATGTGTTATGGTCCTTATGATTCTAAACAAAATAGTGCAATCTCCCATAGCTGTAACAATTACGGTTTAGAAGTTATTGCAACTTTTGTGATTTTTTCCTATAAAATATCAGTTACTTCCATAGCTTACCCATGATAAAGGTTGTTGACAAGCTAATGGAAGAAAGTATGTGTCAGATTGCTGATACCGTTTATTTCGATATATATCGTAGTTTCCCTGTGGAAGTCTACCCATATTTGTCTTTATAACTATATATATATATATATATTCATATAGGGGAATTAATTTACTTTCGTTTTATATAGTTGATATTAGGGATTTATGTGTTTGAAAAATAATATAGGCTACATGTTTGAATGAAAAAATTCTAAAAAATATAAAGATTTATACATTTTGTAATTACATTTACTCCGTTTACTCAGCAAATAATTATGTTTAATTTCTTTTGTTAATTTGTCGTTTAGTACAGCGAGACTTGTCCTCAGAGTTCTAAATCCCGTTTTTGCGGGTGATAGAATTAAGTCTTGGGAGTATCCTGATTTGAACAATTAGGAAGAACAGTAATCTAAATTTATTTCAACCGTATCACGATGCATTTTTTTTTGTTTAGACATACCAATTAGGTTCCGAAGACTCTGTAGGAACTTTTATATGATATTTTGATTAGTAAATTACCACGCGTAAATTCTTAACCAGAGCCTTTAGTTAAACAATTTAAAGAGTAGGACAAGTAGTTTTTTTTTTTTTTTTTATTGGCCAGAACAGAATACTTATCGGACTTACAGAGTCCTTCTACAAGTTGGGCAAAATTTTCAAAAACACTTTAATGTAGGTGAGGATGATATAGCTCCACCTGAGCGTCTGCAGGATTTCCTAAACGCTTCTAGACCTCTGAACCTTCGATAAAATTAAAATAATTAATCAGTCTAAACCGTGAACAGCTACTTGGACGAAAGCCAGGATAATAAATCAAAAACTCCTAAACAAACTTGAAGAAGACATTCTGTACAGTAACGGCTACGTTAACTATATTATTCAGAGATAATTATTTCTTAATTATTTCTGTAGTCCACTTGAGAAACAACCTATAACTCCAAGACTACCTAGCTTCCTATCAACTCCTGGATTTTTATGGGCCCCTTCTGAGCACACCAGGAAATAAATTTGCATGTGTGGCTAGGGATAGGCCTAGAAAGTTCAATGAATACAATTTTATTTCCCCCTAGGATTTACGTCACAGAATGTGTCAATAAATTTAATAAAGACCAGAGAAGTAGGATACAGAGGAAACATGCTTGTGGAACAACCGTGCGCTTTATTAGCTCTGGAATGGTGGGGCGGAAATATACTAGTACTGAGCAAGAGCCCGAACGGTTATTGTTTACAACAGCAGTTGTAACACACAGACTCTTCCTACAGCGTGAGCACTGTAGTACGTAATGGTGAGGGGGAAGAGGAGGGCCAGAGGGAACGATCAATAGAATTTGTACTAGACACACTTGACTGGTGCTCGACATAAGTGTACCATTGATTGTTTACTATGTTTTCTTACTTCTCTGTGGTAGGACCTAGCTAGGCGAGATTTTTTATCTAAAATTAAACTACATATATTTATTTTTTCTTCAAATAATCCATTTTTTTTTTATTAAAACTGTTGAAGAATATGTATTATACGTATACATTAAGTCTCTTTTAGAGAATGGCAATCTAGCCTGTGGTGGTGGATACAAAAGTACTTTCACCCATGAAAATTATTAAAAAAGAATTATCTTACCTAGAGGCTTATCAAAATTTTCCCTCCGCAAACCTAGCCGCTATTCTTCAACATGCAACACTCTCGTTCCTACATGTATCTCAGATTAACTTTATTCAGATACATGAAATTCACTTAAACTGCAGTTTAGTTTTTCTCAAATATAGCTTACAATTAAGCTAGTAAACCAAGATTTCAAATTAAAATGTTTTTATTAATCATTATTACTTGAAATAAGAATTATTTTTAAATATATAAAATTATCTTACCGTTGAAACGTCAAGAGGAAGGACAAAGATAATCAGCAGCGAAAAGTACCATGCTATAAGAACAGCTAACGTCACAAGAATATTGTGTTGTTGCCAGTTACCATACCGGTACAAAAGTCCTGCTGCCAAACAAAATGTTAGGACAATATCGGTGACAAATGGTCCTATCGTCATTTTGGTAAATAGTATCTACAAAAAAATGTGTCAAGCAGTTTTACTATAACTACTCTCATTTAGTTATCATTTGTGTCATCCTTGCCCTGTTGTTCTTTAAGCTTTTTTTCTGCTTCAGTCTGCATTTTTTCTAGTTTTTCTAATGTAACAGATTTTAGTGGCATTAACTTTGGTTTACACAGGATCAGTGTTTCAGTCTCCTGACATTGAAGGAGGCCTGTTGATGGAATGTACTGAGATACATCAAATGTTTTCTGGTCATCCATCAGTCACTGAAACAGAATATGGCTGTTGATAAAACACATCAAATATATAAACAATGATATTAACTTTTATATTAGGCTATTTTGAAAGCATACTGTTTTGCTTCTGGCTCTGTTTATTATTAAAATGCATTGTAGTACTTAGCCCCAGAACTGTAATAATTTGGAACTGACGACAGGTAATATAAAACCAATATTAGTGTTTACTTATTGACCAAAATATTTTATAAATCAATTAGAAAATTAAAGTATATAAAAGTAAATAAAGCAATAAAAAGATTCAAGGTGTTTAAAATAAAAGTGGCGTCCAAACACCTGCAAAGCAGCATGGGACATTGTAAAGTCTCACCAGTCTTCTACAGACCTAAGACTGTAACAACAGTTCCCCTGATTGCTACCAATGTTGTAGCCAACCTAACTGTTTTGCAGACTGACCTGGCCGCCTCCCTCCTGGATGTCTCATCTGTCAACAGACTAAACCATCGGAATAAGGTGAGTTTGGGATCAAATTCAATGCAATCAATGTAACAGCTCTAACTCTTAACAAGAATACTTCGACTAATAGTGAGACGGTTTGTAAACAAACAAATTTCAATTAGATTATGCTAATGCAATTTAAAACGAACATAAAATTTCCAATTTTTAACATTAGGCTTATGGGACTAAAGTAGCCATGACAGTTTTATGAATTAACAAGAAAAATGTAAACAAGAGAATCATAACATATGGTCTTAACAAACCATCGACAGTATTTTAGCAAATTACAACATACAAACCAAAAGAAAAGAACATTTGGATTTGGGCCTTGGACCATAGCAAAACTAACATATAATTTATGAAATGTAAAAAGTTGTATATCATTAAATACAATATTCTGTAATATTAATAATTGTTCGGCAAATCCTCATTTGGTATATAGTTGTAACTAGATGTATTTATAGTCCGTGAATTGGTAATCAAAATAACAGTATTTATATAGGACTAGGTGAAACCCGTCGAAATCGACGGTTACTTTCAAGGCTTACGTTAATTCATCTAACTGCGATAAATATAAATTGGGTGAAATATACATATTTTGAGCATTTAGCATTGTTTAAAGAGTAATAAGTGTAAAAACAATAATGTTTAAATTGCATTAGTTGCCAAATTTGGTTGATTATTCAATGATTAAATATTCCCCATACAATACCTCATCGGAGTTATTATTAGTATGTATTATGGCATCTCTTCCTTTGGAAGAACCTTTAAATAGTATTAAAATCGTATCGGTGGATCTTTTGTAGTTAAACACTTCCGTGATTTCATCAGTGTAATATGATTTTATTTCAAAAGAAAATATTTTTTGGGAAGACATATTCTAACTTCACAGGGAGGTATATCCGTTACAGTGTAAGTTTGATTTTCCTTCGTCATGTCGCGTCAGTTCATATCGTACTTCTGTGCCAATGAATGAACCCTCTAGCATAGTTTGAGAAATTGATTGTAGGGTTACTGTTAAATCTGGAATTCCTTGACATGGGGGATGTCAGTTAGTTGTCTCAGCCTTATCAATAACATAAAGTTGTCAATATAATCTCTCTACGGAATGTTAGGTGTAGTGGAATACTTAAAGTGAAGTTGGCTTTTATTCTTTAACTGTTAGGGGCCTCCTAGTTCATATGGTCTTGCGGCTTCATTGGCAACAAATAATGCAAATGACATAGCAAATGGGACATTTCCAAAAAGCAAAAATACTGTAAATTGGCTGTAACGTATATATTGACGTTTATATATTGTTAATCAACGTATCTTATAAAGGATTATGTGATCTAGTTTAAAAGTAATATGAACTTTCTGTCATGACAGTAGCTGCTTAAATAGTATTTTCTCTTTGTACCATATTTTACAGCCAAAATGTCGTTTTATTTTCAATAATGTTACCAACCCAGTGCGCCAAAGTCCGTAATATAGGCAGGTGCAAATAATTTGTCAAGATGGGTACCATTTTAGGCAAGGTTTCTATGATTGGATTTTATTAGACACGATAAGAGCAGATATTTCTACATAAATATTTGATATGTGTAGAATAATATGATAAAATGTAGGCAAAAGTGGTGAAAAAGGCAGACACCAACCCGTACAATAGATATAAGATAGTTCAATAAGAAATAATTTAAGAATTGCTGTGATAAAAGGATTTTCCACTGATTTCGTAATGGAACGTTATATTGCAAAACATGACATGATAAAGAAGAAATCAATTTTAAAATCAGAAAATAACATTGTAAATACTTATTTGGTAGAATTCAGTAACTCCCAATAAATATGTGTTGTTTGAAATACAATTTAAAAATGAACAGCTGTTTCATTAAAAAGTAGGCCTATTATTCATATGGCCAAAATGTAAACAACTCTGTGGAGGGATCTTTAAAGGCTTCTGGGGCAGAATCCTAAGGGATTTTGCTTAGTTTTTCTTTTGATAACTCATCTACAGACCAAGACCTTTCTTTGGACACCTCTACCAAGTTTCTACGTCCACCTGTTCTCTCAAATTAGTGGGGACATAGTATCCAATTAAATATTTAGAATGCCCCATGTTAATCTTATGGGAGAAACTCCAACATTGATGACTTGTGGGGCAAAGCCCAAGGATTTTTATTACATGAATTGGTGAAAGGGGGCGTCTAGACAAAAAATACTTTATTTTGACACGTCGTTTGTAAAAATCCGTCCATTATTAACGGAGGAGTAGTGTTTCGTAGAAATCGCCTTCACGTATTATATATAAGGATAGGCTACTATTATCTACATTTGAAATTTCTGAATTGTTACCAAATTACCGTTTCACAAAATGCAGATTCCATTTTCAGCCGAGCCACTAAAATTATGGGTATTTCTGAACTTTCTGGACTTTTCTTTTAAATGTTTTTAAACCATTCATTCTTACGATCTTAATAAACAAGAAAATACCTTTAAAATATTTTTTTAAGCCGCGGAATTCACTGAAAATTGCAAAAATATACGGAACTACTTTCTCAGTGTGCGGAGCATATCGCACGTCAAGAAACAAGGAGCAGGGTGATACGGACTGGTGACTTACTCTTGGGCACATATTTGTGTTGCCAGCTGATTAGAAATAATAAGCGATTTAATAAGCGATATATCGAACCACATCAAAATCTATATTTAATCCAATCATACCTCACAGGTTATATTATGTTGAATTACATCGACGGTACAGTAAGTTATTATACACTTATTAATAAAACGCAGATTGAACACCGATCTAATTTAGGCATGTGGGGAAGGTAGGTCGGGGTTTTTTTAACCAAGGTATGGATAATTGTCTAGGCCTGTCCAGAAGAAGGCTACTAATTTCTAATTATATAGCCTATTGAATAATTGTTTGTAGTTTATTAGGAATGTATTTTATTGATTCTTGCTGTCATTCATTATTAGGAATATAACTTATATCTTATTTAGAGATATAAGTTATATTCCTAATAATGAATGACAGCAAGCTACATATTATAGCTTATTACAAATATTTCACATTTTTAGTTGTATAAAATAAAATGTTGTCAACCCGGCAGACGGTCTTATGACCATTGCTGTAATGTGCTGTTTTTAGTAATTTTGTTGTTGTTATGCAGAAGATTATGTTTAGTTATAAGTTCATATGTATTTATGCAGTTTATTTTTGTGTTAATAAAGCACTTTTTCATTTCATTCATTTCATTTCATTTCATTCATAACTTATATCTTATTTAATTAATTCATTCACTGTACCGCAATTCATTCGGTTCTAATGGCAAACAGCCGGGAGATGGAGCGGTCAACGCTTAGTCCGGGCTTAAGCACGGCCGCCTTTCACTCCAGGCCGCGGTCTTCGAACTGGCAACGTCGCAAGTGGTGTTGTAACAGCTGTTTTGTTTAGAAGCAGCTAATGGTATTTGTGTATTTACGAAAGATTGGTTACTGGACTATGACAATATTGACTCCGCTTAAAATTACAGATATAGATTTTTAATTTGTATTGTTTCAGTTTTCAATTCTGTATGTATTATTTTCAATATTTAAAAAAATTTATGTTCATAAATTTAAATTTAAATCAACAAAGTGCGAATTAATGAGCTATATGTCACCTGTCTGCCATGTTATCTTATGGGACGTCTGTCACTAAACAACCCCACTTGCGACGTTGCCAATTCTACCAGGCCGTGGCCTGTAGTTAAAGGTGGCCGTGGCTTAAGTCGGTTACTAACAGTATTTGCCATTCATCAATTGCGGGAGTCAGTAGCCGTCACCAGACATTATTAGAATATGGTGGTCGCTGAGGCTACTATTGGTTAGTAGCATTAGCCACTAGCTCCACCCAGCCTCCCAAATGTTGCCAAGCCAAGCTTCTAATGAAGGCGGTGATTATATGTTATTCACGTAAAAATCAGTATGGTTTTCTTACTGGTGCGTTAATCGCTGGTGGTTTTTAATCAACATCTTAATGAAGTTGGCTGACTTGGTTGGTGAAGCATTCGAGGCTGGTGACACGGTGACTCTCACAATGTGTGACTTGAGTCGTGCCTTCGATTGTGTTAACCACAATCTTCTGCATGGGAAATTGAGGAGTTTGGGAGTAGACAGTGTGGCACTGAAGACGATTGACTCCTATCTGGCTGGAAGGCATCAGGTTGTCTCTGTGGAGAGCGCAACATCCAAGCCCAAGAGTGTCAGGTACGGTGTCCCTCAGGGATCGATTGTAGGTCCGTTGTTGTTCCTAGTAATGATCAATGACCTTGATAGAGATGGAGGGGTGGTGCTTTTTGCCGACGACACAACCCTGGTGTCACGGGGTCCCCAAGTTGAGCTGTCCACTGCAGATGCCAACCAACATCTCTCCGTAGCATC